TGAAAACTAAGTGTTTTATAGTACAATGTCTAAACTGGGAAATGCTGCATAAAATAGAATTGCATTATCTCTCATGTCGCCAGACAGATTTCAGATGTGGCCTTGAGTAGAATGCAAGACACATTTAATACAGAGATAACACAATCACAGCTAATTGTGATAATGAAACATATGATCTGAGTCTGCCTGAGAACAGTGCATTTGAGAGAGACGCTTACTTATTTTTTTCCAGAGAGTAAGGGGGTAGTTCAATATTGTTGTTTTCCAATTTTCACGAATCATCAGTTTTGTTCTAGAAACAGCTTAGAACCTGATTAATAAAAATTTAAGTTTAAAACATAATCAAGAGCAGGCAGGTGTTATCACCATCTTTTTTTTCCCTCCAGCTCTTTTCATGACTGTATTTGTTTTACTGCATATTCGTTGGGGTTGTATTACATCTGATTTTTATAGTATGGCTGTTTCTTATACAGCAGATACGTGACTGTGTCGTCAGCCTGCCACAGTATTCCACCCAAACATCCTTGGAGCTACAGTATCCAAATATCTGTGCAATGATGCTCAGCTCTTTCCTCCTCAGCCAAGCTTCAGCACCTGTTTCACATCGGTAAAACCATTGTACTTTGATGTAACAGAGGCAAAGAGTTAAGCATCCCCAGCCTGGARAAGGCACAACAGGCTCCTCCACTTTCTGAGGTCTTCTAGGTGTGTTAAAAGGGACAAGCGAAAACAGAGAAAAGTTTGGGAATATGCTTCTGATATTGCCCTACTGCTTTCAAGGTAAGAGTAGACATTCAGGGTTTGCAAACAAGACGGGATCACAGTTACGTCTAATTGAATCACACTCAGGTTTGCATGGACAAAAGTGCAGAAAATCAGGAAATTTGACATTCTGCTTTAGATTGGGATGCTTGATAAAGTTATGTGAGTTAGATTTGTACCCTAAGTCAAATTAACCTTCTAAAACAACACTGCTTATGTGCCTGCATACGCAGACCTATGTGTACTTGGAAGCAYTGATGTCTTGTATTCTGCAGGTTGTTGTTCTTTGTCACAGGAGACTAAAGTGAAGTTACCTGGGAGTGAAATGCGGGAGTTATTTAACAAAATACAGATACCTTACACAAAAAAATATATGACGGGGTGAAGAATAACAAATACAGATGAAAATGTAGGTGGAATCTTGTAATGTAATTATCAAAACTTAAATTTGATCTGCTTTGGTAAAATGAACAAGGAGTTGTTCACAGGGGGAAAATGGGAATACCAAYAGCAGCACATTACTCCATGGATCTATTTTTGTGTACTTATTCCTTAAAGATTATGAGGAAAGATACTCTCTTAAAAGTATTATAACTAATGTGATATACTTTCTGAAGCATCCAGTCACAACAGCACTGAGAAGCATCATCACTGGCAGGGCTCTGGTTGTACTTCTCCATAACAATGCCAATATCTGTGTGCTTGRCAGGTCAGAAATTTAACTATATCTGCCCATTTCTGATTTCAGCACCATTTAAAATTCTTCAGAGTATTTAGTCATAGTGATTGACTTAATGGTCCTTGCCAAGTCACTTTCATCCTTGACTGGTACCCAAATGATCAATAAACTTGACCATGCCAAAAAAGGGAAAAAAAAAAGAAGAAAAATAGAGAAAAAAAAAAAAAAAAAAAAAAAAAAAAAAAAAAAAAAAAAAAAAGAGAAGAGAAGATGAAGGAGAGAAGAAGGAGATGAGAAATAAAGGGAGGGAGGAAGGAAGGGCGGAATGGAAGAGGCAGGGAATGAGGGAAAAAAGAATGAGGGAAAGAGAGAGGGAGGGAAGGAAGGAGGAAACTATATGAAGATTAATTATCCAGTAAAATGCATATCTTGAAACTAGAATTACTCAAAATCCTACGGAGTCCTACGGAGTCCAAGTAATTAAAAACAAAATATCTGAAATAAAAGATGTTTCACTTTTTCCCCCTTTTAAGAAAACACAAATCAATCATTAACAGTAATATCATCAGCTATGCCTAATATTTGCCTTAGAAGCTGAAGTCTTATTTTTCAAATGCATCTAAATTACTTAGGAACACAAGGACATTTAGACTTTAATAGGAGTTAGGCTACAAAATCACTTGGGCATCCTATTTTCAGTTTTGGTGTTTGTGTTGTTTACATTGCAACACCTACCTGATGAGCCAAAATTTCATTTTCAAAAGTAATGCTGATGCCTCAGAGCTTGAATTCTACTGTAAGTCAAACAGACATGACCTCTAGCAGCATGAAATAAGAAGCAGATTCCTAAATGAGTTAGGTACTGCAATGCTGAACAATGCAGTGAATGCACTAAATAATAATAGAATCATCATCACCATCATCATCATCTAAGTTTAGTTCTTCAATATCTATTTCCTGTTCCTGGTAACTGATTAATTATTTACCCCAAAGGGACTRGGTATTAGAGCTGAAAATGTTTTAAGGGAAATAAGTGCAGAATTTTATTCTGAGCACATTGAAGAAAAGGTAAATATTGTAACTGAGCTCAGTTGTGCTTTTCTGACAGTACGATTCTTCCTGCAGCTTTGAAACACTCTTGAAAAATGGATTCTGGTTACACACACTCCTACACGCAGAAGCTTACAGAAGCTTACATATGTGTATATAGTAAGAAGTGATTGTATTAGAATTCTTCTGAAGAATACGAGCAGAGAGATGGATTTTACCCATCCCACATTACCTACCAAAGGGAACGCCAGAGATTTTGTCGTGATGCTGAAGGACCTGTCACCAGGCTGCTATCACCTGCGTAATCCCATTCTTGACACGCTGCAGGGGAAGCTCAGGAGCCCACGAACCTTTGATTACATTAGTCACATTGCCTCCCTCTAGTAAAYAAACCTGCGCGCTCCGAGGAGGCTGTGTCATGTCATTCAGCACTCCTCGCAATTACAGCCCCGCTGCCACTGCACGTGGGACAGATCCTCCTCGTCACTGCTAGTTCACGTACATGACGCAGGATCACATCTGTTTGGGTGGGTGATGCTCACTGCCACAGGTACTCAGTACTATTTGCTATGATGTTGTGACATGATAGCATATATGTATACAACCATACAGAAATAGAGAGTCAAACAAATCTGTTTCTCTATATAGAAAGCCTCAAATCACATCCACTGGTTTTGTAGAGTGCAGTTTATGCCTTTCCACATGCACATGYCAAGCACATATGAAACCTGCGACCACATGGGTGCAAACTCCTGGTACAGAAACATACACAAAACACCAGCACTTGCCAGCAGCCACTCAAGAACGTCTGCCAAACCTCCCAACTGATGTACGTGTGCACTCACGCTCTCCAGTGTATACTGGTGCCCKCGCGCACACACAACCATACCCATATATGCACAAATGAACATACAAATACCTAAACACACAGACATAAAAGCTACAACATGCACACAGGCACACACAAACATGCACACACACATATGCATAGTCAGGTGTATACACATGCACCTAAGCATTTGTGTAAAATTATGTGCACACACTCACACAGAGATGCACCCAAAGCATCTGCTGATGCACTCAAGGGCACACACACGCACACTTATGCACACACAATCACATACACAAATACATGCACACACACACACACTCAAGCATATGCACGTATATATCCAATCACATACACATGCACATGCAYATATACGCATGTGCACACAAGGGCAGATGCATTCACGGAGGCATCTAGACAAGTGCACACACACAATACACATACCTGAACATGCACAAACATGCACACATGCATAGGTAAACACAGATGCACTCCCATACACATACACAGGCAAATMACACACACACTAGCAATCACATACACAGGCACACACACACACAAACAGTTGCATGTTCAGGTGCAACAGGCCTCCCAATGCACACACATCCCACGTGCTCACATATCACGTAAGAACACAGAGCGCACAAGAGCAAATCCACACGCGCACATGCCCACATGCAGCACACACGCATATATGCGCACATACGGCTACACGAATGGGTTCACAAACGCACAGGCAAGCGCACACACATAGATGCGCGCGCACAATGCACGCGCATGCACGTGCACGCGCCCCGAGGTGCACGCGCACGCGCCCCGCCCCCGCGCAGTCCCGCCGCGGCGCTGCGCGCGGGCAGCGGGCGCGGAGGCTGCGCCATGCAGAGCGCCCCCGGCCCAGCCAGGCCCCGTAGGGAGAGATGGRTGGGGAAGGGGGAAGGGAACAAGCCCGCACCGGCTTCTTCCGCGTCCCGCGGAAGCGGCCACCCGTGCGCGGCTTTCTGGGCGCGGAGCGCACGACGCAACATGTGCTGCCACGCAAGGTGTGTGTGTGTGTATGCGTGGGGACTGGAACAGCCCCGAGCCTCGAACATTAATTAATTCCTCGTAACTCTCCCCCCGCCCTTGATTTATTATTGCTGTTATTATTTTATTAATATTGTGTCCCCGTCCCCCCTCCCGCGCGAACCGCCAGTGGAGAGAGGGGGGATACGCTGTGGGCGCTACAAGAGGCTCCGCACATCTCCGCACCGCGTTGTGTCTTGAGACTCTTTTGTGGGCAGCATTGATCCTTTTGGAGGCTGGGGTGGTGGTGGGGGGAGAAGTTAAAAAAAAAAAATCTCAATTGCAAATGTTGTTTGGAGTTTATTGGGTGCCCCGCGCTAAGGTGCTTCCGCGGCTCCTTGCTGGAGCAAGGCGGGTGCGGTGGGTTCCGCCTGTGCGGGGAGCTGGAGTAGCGGGGGGTTGGTGCAGGGAGTGTGTGGGGGGGGGGAAGGAAAAGACACAGTCGAGAGTAGCTGAGACTTTGTGCCCCCGTTGGAGAGATGGTTGAGTCCTCGTCAAGGTTGCTGTGGTATCCCAGAAACACCATTCACTCCGAGCTGTGACCGCGCACCATCCACAGCAACAACTCCGCTGCGCCTGGCCGAGGAATAGGAATTGGGAGATCGCAAGAATAATATGAAAGGGATCTGCAAAGGGGAAATCCGTGCGAAGGAAGCGAAATTAGCAGRCTTTTGGGAAAGGGGATGTTCTAAATGTGGCCGGCTGGACTTCATCCTGGTGAAGAAAATGGAGATTAAAAGTGGATTTACATTTTGGAACCTCGTCTTTTTATTGATGGTTTCGTATGTGAAAGGTAGGGTAGTATTTGAGGGGTATATTTTAAGGGGGGGTCCCTTTGCTTTCGGTCAGGGCGTTGCAAGATCTCATCCTATGCACAGGTATATTCAAAAACATAATTCTCTGTGATTTTGTATTTGCACTGTGGGTACTTTGCAGTGGGAAGAAATAAATGATCGTTAAGCGGGGAGGAAAGAAGGAGTTGATACAGAGCTCTCTTTGGAGATAGGAAATGTATTTGTTTGCCAGGCTTGGCTTTCAATGCAGTGACTGAGCTGGGGCTCAAATATTCTTGCAGTATGCTCAAACGGTACGTGAGTTGGTTCATATAGCCTCTAACTAGTGTATATTCAAGCAAATCCCACCAAGTGACTTTTTTAAGGTGATGTGGGTGGTAGCGGAGGGTATTACCTACATTYCCCCCCCCCCCCCCTTTTTTTTTTTTTTTTTTTTCGGGCTAGCAAAAGAGCTCTTTGCGRGAATGCCAGTATCGATGCACTTCTTAGTTTAACCCATTCCATGAGGAAAGTTAGGAGGGCGATGAGAGGGTGTGTGGCGTCTCGCATCCGAATTGCGCTTCCTCGCTCTGCGCTTTGCCTGCGGAGCTGCCTGGGCTGGGGAAAAGGCATGGGCGCAATCCAGCCTGGAAGGCACGGTCTGCTGCGGAGTGCAAAGATCGCCACCTTCTCCTTTCCTCCTCTGGTACCCATCCCCAGTCTTCCTCCCGTGTGCTTTTGTGGTCTTTTTAATATTTTTTTTTTTCCCTGCTTCTTTGGCAGGGAGTGGGAGGCGGGAGCAAGGGAGATTTTTCTTCCTTTCTGCTCTGAGCCCTCTGCCCGTGAAAGGAGGGCAAAGAGGAAACCTCTAGTTAGCGGCACGAATATCTCCCTTAAGTCAGTGCTTGCAGACAGCAGAGAGGGATAATGCTCAGAGAGGGAAGCGGTGCTCGAGCCTGGACACCGCCGCTATTCCCGGGCACCGCTGCATGGAGCAGTGCTGATCCCCCTGGYGTGCTGCCGTGGAGGGATCTATTCTGCAACTCCACTCCGTCGCTCGGCTGGGCGAAATAATCTCCCCTTGTTTGCGGCCGCTGATTAGTATCTGATTAATCATCCCTTTAGCCCCCTGCTCATCCTCATCCTTCCTCCCCGCCTCACCCGCACACTCTGGGCATATCGAGCAGACGGTATTGATCCTCTCCGAGTTTTGGGACTCGGCTGGCGCGCTCGGCGGCCAGGAGGAKGTGTGAGCCGGGGGGGCATTCAAGGCGCGCCCGCCCGAGCGGCCTCTGCCTTGTATGAAACACTTTATTGTGGAGCTCTGCAGCTGCTTGTCCTCCCATTTGCATTCCGTGGAAACGAGAATTTCGTGTTGCACGGGGGCGGGAGCCGGGCGGGGGGAGGGGGAGAAAAGGAGAGGATTTACCTCATCCCACGTTATCGTGCCACGGTATCCGCGGCTTGCCGTGAATGTTAACACACGTTTTAATTACAGGCTTCTTGCCTCTGTTTACGTCTGTCGAGGMGAGCTGCTCCGGGAGCTTTGCCCAGGCTGCGACCGAGACCGAGGCGGGAGCTTGGGTTTGGCGGGAGGGTGGCGGAGGAGAAGGTGTTTTTTGGGAAAAGCGGCATTTCTTACTCCTTGCTCAGCTCCCGCTCCCTAGCGCTGTGTGAGCGCGTGCAAGTCATCATACGGGCGGAGGCGGCAGCGGCGCCGCCGCGGGGCTGCGCGAGGCTGCGCGGGGCGCGGAGGCAGCAGCGCCGCCCGCGGCGCTGCGCGGGGTTCCAGGCACCTGTTGAGGGCCCGGAGGGGGGTCTGCAAAACGCAGCGGGTGCCTCGGGCAGAGCCCGGGGTGAAGCTCCCGGGACGGCCYCAGGGACATCTGGCCTTGTCACCCGGCCCTGCACATCCTCCATCCCAGCGAGAAGCTGCCAAGCATCTTAGCAGCTTCCTCCCTCCTCAGGGCCTGAGTGTTCAGGGTGCTGAGCCCAGCACTTTCCATAGGCTTCCGTGGATTTAGGGTCCTCCCAGCAGGAGACAACCTGGGAGCTTGGATTTTTTTTTTTTTTTTTTTTTTTTTTTTTTTTTTCCTGGACGTGAATTCCCTTAGGCAGCCAGGTTTGACAGAGCTGGCTTAGGCTCACTGCAGCACTGCATCTATTTTGAGCATTTATATTTAGTTCTCTGCACACTCCCGTGAATGAATACATTTTACCTTGATTTACATTCCTATTGTGTCAGCACACGGTGCTCCTGCTCCCAGAAACCTTGGCAGATGCAAAGAGTGAATGAACATCACCCAGCTACGGGGAGGAAGCAACTCCCCAGAGGCTGCATCTGCTCTCCCATCACCCGTCATGGCCATTTCTTTATACCCTGCTTCCTCAAGCTCTCATCAAGCTCTTGCTTGATCACCCCTACTACATAGTGCAGCACCACTCARTAACACTGAAGCTGTTGCTGGGGTTCCTGTCATTCAAACTACTTCCATAACACCAGTCCGTATCTGTCACCTAGGCCCTTCCCACTTCTATTGCTGTTCCTCCAGTCTGATGCACAGCTACCTCCCCTGTCCTGGCTCTCTCATCTATCAGACTATCTCAGGAAGCTTATGCAGCCAGTCATATCTGCTTAMTTACATGCTCTCCCGTAAGTGCATCTGGCTGCATAAACACAAAGTTTCTTCAGATGATCATCTACAGATTGTAGATGTAGATCCAGAATTTCACAGCAATTACTGGGAGGGGGCAGAAAGGAGAGAGGAGAGAGAAAAGATAGGAAAAAAATATAGGAAAAAGATATTCCAGAACTGCTGGGAAAGGAGACGCAGTAAGAGCTGGARTGATAAGGAAAACTCTTCCATGAAAATCTTTACCTGCTAATACGATATCCTGTTATATCATTGATCAGTGTCCAGGAATGATTTCCCTTGGACAAGCACAGAATAAAAAAAGGAAAGAAATGGCSTCTTTGAAAAGTGAGAGGAAAAGGCATTAAACAATAAGACATGAGCCAGTGCCAAGCAGTGTCATTCCTGCCCAGCTGCAGGGGAAGATRGATGCTGTGCTCTTACATTCTGTAAATGTGCAGGCAGATAGCGAAGCTCCTTTCCTTTCCACTCCAGTTCCCCAGGAAGTAATGAGAAGCCCCTGTTTAGGCAGAGGAGATAAACTGATCTTGGAGAAGTGAGGGGAAACCTCTACTGCCCAAGTCCCTTAAAGAAGAAGGAAGGAGGGTAGATGAAATTCAAGGCAGTTCTTCTATGGGGGGAAAAAAAAGGGCATTTTAATGCAAAAGTGTTTGCCCTCTGGAATTCAGAAGGGAAATACTTGCATTCCTTCAAAGTGCCTCAGGTTGACACCTGAGTGCCCCAAACCATGCTTGCGACCAGTTTATGGAAGGAAACCAGGGGGGAAACCAAGAGAAATGAGCAGGGACCCAAAGACTTYTCCATCTTTTGCATTTAGCTGTTGCTCCAAGACAGGGAGCACCAAGGTTTGCTCTTTTGTCTGCCCTGCTAAAAGGCAGCCTTGCCTCTGCCGCTGCTCCTCTGCTTCCCGACGCAGCTGTGACAAGGGGATGGGGGAGCTTTCCAAGCAGCAGTTCCTCCATGGGGGGAGAAACAGGGGCAAAACAGGCAGGATTTCTGAGAGATGAATACCTGGCATATAGGAATATGTAGCAGGGACGAAATATGCCCTGTGCCTCCACAGCCCCTTTCCCAGCCCAGCTGTGCTCCCCGCAGTCCCAGGCACCCCCTGCGGCCCCTCCCTGCCCACTGGGGCTGGTGAGGGGACCTGTCCTGTGTCAATGGGGGGTGGCAGGACAGGTCTCCCTGCTCCCTCATGTCCCCGGAGGGGGAGGCGACAGGAGGCTGCCTCCCTGTGTGTTCATGTGAGTACTTGTGCGTGTGAGTGTGCATGGCACATGGGGAGACGCTGGCAGGAGACACCGTGTTGTCCTTTCTGCTCAGCTGGCTCCTCCGCACAACCTCCTGCTGCCTTTTTTTTTTTTTTTTTTGTTATTATTTATTTATTTTTGTTCTCCCCAGCATCACATAAGACCTATCTGCCCAGCAGGCTGTGGATAGTGTCTCAGTGCTGTCTTCAGACTCCTCAGTTTTGCAGGGATGCAACCAGAGCTGGGAGCCCCCTGCCTTTGCTGAGCAGGTCAAGCAAGGACCCCACCGTGCGCTTTTTGCGCAGTGCAAAGCACCAGCCCCGCCAACCCCCCCACCCCGGCAGCATCGCCTCCTCAGGGCCGCGTCTCCCTCTGGCAGCCTGGGACCTGGTGGGCTTCTGACCTCATCCCTGCACCAGAGCCCCTCCTCCCAGCAATACTGCTTTGCCTTCCTTGCTTTTTCTTCCTTCAGTTCAGGCACTACTCCAAGTGTCTGCTTGCTTGCAATTCTCAGGCAGTTTTTAGTGGTTTTTATTTCTTTTTTCTTTTTATTTTCCCTTCCCTTCAGACAACCCAGCAGGCTGTACCTTCAGCTCAGTTATCAGCATCCTGACTTGGAAGCACCAGCCCCTCAGAGCTGTGGAAACCCATGGATGTTCTTTAAAATCCTTCCTACTTGGAAAACTCTTATGCAGAAGCTTACAATCTGCCTGAATTCTAGCGGGCTACTTCTGGAGCATCATTTTTAATAGGCATGGCGCTATTAATTCTGTAACAGAGAGCTCGCATCCATCCTTCATCCTCTATTACATGTCCAGACACACATTCTGTGTCTCTTTGAAAGCACCAAATGATGCAATTGCTTGTATAAGCAGTAGTAACCACTGAATCTATATGAATCTGTCAAAAAGGGAGGAAAGCACACAATTATTTAGATATATTTTAAAATGGCATTGAAACTTCCTGTTGTGATGATTTGCATGATTATAATATCTTCTCAGAGAAATGGTTAAGAATGATGTGACCTTGTATCCTTTTTTTTTTCCCCCCAAAAAAAAGGTGTTTTTTWAAAAAAAAAWAWAAATAAAAAAAAATAGAAAAGGTGGCCAGGATAGA